CCAACCAGATTCCGCCCATCTATGACCATTGTAACAAGGATTGTCGCTCCAGCATTGGTCAGCCACACTAGATATCTGCTCCAGTCGAGCAGTCAACTAGGACTACAATGGGAGACATTTCTATTGGGACACGAATATTTTGAACAATTTACATACCATTCTATCATTCACTATGCGTCACCCACTATGCTTTTGGTGCTCACATCCCTTTTTTGGACAACATAATCTTTTTATATATCAGTCTAAACATTTTTCTGCTGTGTATACTCCTGTTGCACTTTTATCGAGAAAACGAGTAGCATACACAACATGTGTCTCAGTCTGCCACTATGCTGTTTAACAATCCATCAATTTGAGTATCATAGTCAAAGATTCGTTGCAATAAAAGTAAGTTTCCTTCCGGTCAGATTGCGCAAAATTTTCTTGCTCTAGACAATACGCAGCTAACAAAAATAATCACATGGGTCTCCGATCTATTTGCTATACTTAGTTTTTAGCTATATATTACTGACAGAAGCACCCCCCTTATAAAATGCTGGATCCGCCCCTGCTACCATTCCACCATTGTAGGATGCATTACCATGGTTAACGCTGACCGACGGAGGCCTACTACTACCACCACTACCACTACTACTACTACTAGTACTACTACTACTACTACTACTACTACTACTACTACTACTACTACTACTACCACCATGAATTTTGTCTATTGTAGGTTCTGCTGTAGCCACATCCACGCCAGTATCCTTGTTTTCAATACCGCACTATAACACACACTAGTAGGCTGCATACCGAACGGAGGGACCTAGCACCATCTGACAGTTTCACCGGTGTTTATGATTTTCGTGGATTTTCGTTTTTATATACAGATGTGATTTTTTTGTCGTTCTTTTCATCTTCTTTTAATCATCGGAAAATTGCACAACATAACATATATACCTTAACATGAGGCCATTGATTAACCACCACAGACCAGACCAGAGACCAGTTTCAGGCGACCCATGAAAAAAATAAAAATGAGTTCCTCTTTGATGGGGGTGTACGTACCACGTACCCCGCTTATTTTATCAAACTTCCCGTTTAGTCTATCCCTACAATTTCGGGATCAATGGTATTAAATCGTCAATCTCAGGGCATTAAAAATTAAACTCAGTTAAGATACACATCTTATTTGTGGACAATTTTTATTTATTTCCACAAAAGTACGGCCATTCTCTAGTAAACAAAAACTCACTATAATTAAATGGAAGTTCAATATCTTTTTTCTTTTCTTCTTTGTTTGTTAGTTTGTCTTTAATTTTTTATTTTATTTTTTTTTTATTTATTTATTTTTGGTTCAGTGTACCGTATATTTGCATTTTTTATTTCTGTCGCCGTAGAATATCAATAAAACAGCTAACGAGAATGAAGAGGGAAGGAGGGGTGCTCTCGCGCCTCACTTTAATTATAGAAACTGTGAACTCGCGCTGTCTCTTGATGCGGCCCTTTTTCTAAATTTGGTGACATAGGTACAGCGCATGCGTTGCCACGACCAATACCCCCAGCAAAGTCAGTATTTCCAAATCGACCTCGACTTTGTCCGAGTATTCGGGCGAACTTTTGTTCCATAATTTTTAGGGAATTTTTACCCTTTACTTGTCTCTAAACTGCCAAAGGCAGTCAGATTTTAACAATTTCGCCAAAAGGCAAAAAGGAAAACCAAGACCCCAACCAAAAGCTGCCGGGGAAGACCTCTAAACAACCCTGTAAGTATTTGCATCATTTCATCGACGGCCATTTTTGTCTTCTTGTCCAAAAGCTATTTGCATCTTTTGTGATGTTTTATATAGCATTTCTCCATATTTATGTGACATTCAACGCTAAAATGTGTTTAGTTAATACTAGGAAGGCTTAAATTTGTTTCATAACMAATAGAAAGGGTTTTTTTGGCGAAAAAATGGTGCTCGCACGTCAGCTGTATTGACAGTTTTGCTACTACGACGTCGCTAACAATTGCAAATTGTGTTCAAGGTAGACAACCTTCTTGTTGTAGGTATTGTGCTGCGAACTTTGATAATCCTTAGGSTTGATGCGTTCTTATGTAAACTATTTGTAGATAATGTTCCAGAAAATAGGACTAAATTAAAAAGAGTTGCGACATGTACARTATTTGCATTGTTTGTCTTCGATTTCGTTTAAACTTTCAGTATGCATGTATGCTAATAGGAAAGAAATTGTTGTCTTTCAATCTTTAATAAAATCCTTTTCAATAGCAGTAAGTATTTTTTTAATAATTGGAGTCATTGAAATTTTTGTCGTGCATATGTCGTCCTTGTTGATTGAAACATTTGGACAAGATTATAAATATGGTCACGAATGGTGTTTTCTTTTTTTTCCTTTTAAATTCTGTCGTAAAATACACAGAAAGCTGAAATTTACKATTATTGGCTGATTGTGTTGCTGTTTATAYAGTAAAGACAGATAAATACGAAATACAGGGAAAAATTGTTGCATAACATTATTAAAGTTCAAGTTTAGCATTCAGCGTTTCTCCTCTTTCGTTGCATGTTTTTTGTTATTGTTACTGCAAAACGAGTTGACAGTGCTTATACAAGGCAGAAAAGGAGGGACATTGACACATAACTTAGACAGTAACAATGAAGGGCAGCAACTTTTGAGTTTTGCATCTTATATTTTTTGGCCTAAAGTAAAATATAAAACTTGCTATTTTGTTATTTTTAGGGGCCCAAAAATGTACCGTATCTATCACCTGCGACAATGGCTGGAGTGGTATTCCTGACGTCCGCTTCGAGGAAGGATTATCTTCCGCTGAAGGCGGGGGTGGAGATGATGATGATGACAGTAATATATCCTTCTACACTCTTTTCCTAGTAAGTGAAACTACATCAGTTTTCAAAGTGCTAACACACAATGAGTAGGTTGTGTGCTACATGCATTCTGTGTATGCGTAGTGCAGAGGGCATAAAACAGTCAAGCCTACATATAAAAACAAATTTCCACTAAGTGCAGCAARAGTGACAGTTTTCACTTTCTGTCCTTCACCACTATTTTAATTGCAATTAAATATGAATCCACAGGAGAAAGATGAGAAAGATCCACAGAAGGAATGTTCTCCACCCCCTAAGGCTGAGCTAATCTCCTTCCGTGTAAGGACTGGAGACCATGAAGTGGCAGAGTGGTGCTCTGTTCATGTCAATGGTTGTCTCTATGTCCATGTCCCTGAAGATGAAATGCTACCAGGAAGCAAAGAGTGGTAAGATACAAAGGTTTCATTTATTGAGCAAAACACAAAATATTAAACTGGTGGTAGGAGGTAAATAGGTGGTGCTATATTGCCAGTAGCAACCTATTATTGAAACCCCTGAAGATATAATAATCAGTGATATTATCCATGTATGAATTGTCTTGTTATTTAAGTTAAATCAAAGAATTGTGAACAATAAAATAAGTTGGGTGGAAAGGGGGATGCGAGTTGACTGTTCTTTATGACATGTAATTTTCCAATTCCAGCTTTGTGTCATTGCTGGAATATGCTGAAGAGGAACTTGCCTGCACACATGTGTTTGTGTGTCTTCTGAAAGACAGGCCAGACAGAGGTATAGACAGGGACTAGGACTGCTTTGAAGTAAAACAATATTTCTTTCTATGTTTAGCATGAAAACCAACAGTTCTGTATTTTAATGGGAAAATAAGAGCCGTTAATTGTACAGTGTGAGGCCTTTGACGTTCTCTACTTTTAAATTTGGAACTATCAAGTTTTTTATTTATTGCAAGTCAATAATGCACCTTAGTTTATTATTTTATTTTTTAATTCTGTACTAAAATACCTTTTTTTCTTCCTCAGCATCAATGATGAGAACATTCATGTTCATGGGATTCCAGACTGTTAAGCCTGGACATGAAATGTGTCCTGATGATCCTAAATATGTCTTTATGGCATACACTATTGATTAACAAAACCAATTGAATAATTGATCAACTTGTAGACAACATCACAAGGTCCCAAAACTTCACATCGTAAAAAAGTATCAGTTCAGTGAGTTGTAGATATTGTATGTCACATTATTTYATTGCATAAAAATGCATCTAAGCTTTTGTCTAGTAAGGGATAGGTACAGTGTAATGGTAGATGAACAAATTGTCAGGATGACATCTCTCTTTCTGGTCAAGTGGATTAAAAGGTCTGACAACAGCTAATTTGATGTTTGAAATTATCTCTTTGGAGTGAGTTCACTTAGCTACAATAGCTGTCATGAGAATTTGTTCATTTTGTATGTAGTCCACATAGTGTATCTGTTTAGATTTCTAAACCTCAGTTATTTGTCTATTTATCCTTTAATACTATTATACATTGTATTCATTTTCACATGTATTCATTWTAAGTTTCCAAACACTATATCATTAAATTAAATATATTTGATTGTAAAAAGGTGCTAGGGTGATTTTCTGTAGACTAGGAAACGAAAATGACAAGTTTGTACCAGYACGATGAGTTTGAAGTCTACTGATTTAGTTGACAAAAATTGCTATTACAAAGATAAATGTAATATTTTGTGTTGATAAAAATAAAGATTGTATGATTATCTTAACTGTGTTTTTGTTGCTTGCTCCTGCCACTAGCATTTTGCAAGGTAGTGAAATTCGGCACWAGTTCTTATTTTTTCACAGTAATAGTTACAAACAAGAATGACTGTATATAATCCATGAAATTGTATGTTTAAAAGAACATTTTGGAGCTGGGCAACATTTGATTAAATATTGTTTTTATAAATTAAACCACAAAGAGGTTCATAAAATTATTACAGGTTCGKACAATTTCACAAATCATTAACGGTGTTCACTCTAAGTTGTAACTGACTGGAGTTTGATTGTGTTTGCTTTTAMTTTAGCATTACAGACTACCTGTAATTTTCATTCCACTGTCAAGTAAAACTTGTTGGTGTGGAAGAATKATACATCCTGTTAGTGCAAAGAGAATCATTGATGATTATCATTTTTACTACATACTGTTCCTACTGGTCACATTACTAAAGAACAAAAATATGGCAATAATGCAAGAAGATAAAACGATGCAAAATAACAAGCAATGTTTGGTACATAGTCAAGATCTTAAGTTATATCTTAATAAAGTCTGACAATGAGGACTGGACAGGGTCTCAAGTCCGYGCAATTGATTTATTGCATCTCCACCAAAGTTTTCAGTTTTCATAATTTTGAATACACAAGCACTGTTGTTCTCCAATTCCCGAACAGCTTTCTGAAACAAAAGCTTTTCAAATTGTCTCTATCTGCTATTCATGGCATTCCTAATGAGCCTAATTTATRAGTTTTATAAGTATGTTATCTTCCCAGGCATCAGAAACTYAGCAGTGTAATGGTACAGTGTAAGACGGCGCATATAGACTGGGCAGTTCGGGATCGTTTCGTRAGGCAGTTATGTATCAAAGACCTTTTTTCMCTAATCATTAATTCTATATTTAATTTATTATTTCTGATGCGTTGATTATCATTAGCTAGTAGTAGTTAGAAAAAGGTAGAAATAACTGGAAACAAGGTAGAAGTAACTGGAAACAAGGTAGAAGTAACTGGAAATAAGGTAAAAGTAATTGGAAACAAGGTGAATAAAATAAGGTAGAATACAAGATAGGAGCACTTCCTCTGGTATCCAGTTACTGTACGTGGTACAAATTACAATCAGGGATTGGCTAGACGTCATGAATAATTAATGAGTATGAGACGAAAGATGGAACTTTTTTCAAGCTAAAGCACATAGTAACATAATACATTTTGTACACTTGGGAAAACGAATACAAAGGAAATAATACCTCATTATAACTGTTCTAGTTGAGTGATAGCAATTCATGGTCACTAAATAAGAACTATTAGATAGTAACTATTTAGATTTTAATTCATGGACATAGTGATAAGCACTCAAGTCATTGGATTTACTAGTGTCAATTAGCACAGTAAATGTTTTTCCAGAGAAAACCACTATTCGCATGTTGACGAGGCCAATCAGTAGTAAATGGACGGTGTAAYTTTTCAGATTACAAATCTTCTATATCTATATCACCCTCAACACTGTTTTCATTCTCTTTTTGACATGGAGGAGGCACATGGRCCTCATCATCACTATAGATTTCAGTCTTTTTCTCTTGAATTAATAAACTGTGGCTATTTTTCATATCTGTTGTTGTTTCTTCAGTTTCATTGTMATAATTTTCATCAGAACTTGATTCCTGTATATCTTGTGGGTTCATTGTCTGTTCTAAAAATAAAAGTACACATCCTATAGTCTCATCTCAAAGCCATTATAAGGAAAGACCTGGAAACGAGCCTTACAACGGTTGTGAGAGACAAACACACCTACAAATAAGTAGGGTATTGACAGTAAAAACTTGCAGCCCTTGAAGCAAAATAATGTCATTGCATAATTTGAATTTAGAATCAGTGTTGAATAAAGGGGTACAAGAAGCTAAAAGATGCATCCCTTCCATTTTCCATTGAAACGTAGATGAGCCTTTACATCAAACCAAGCCAAGAGGTGTGCATGCAATGACTGACACCTTAGGTACTACATGTATCACTTTAAAGCAAAGGCTTGGCTACCTTTCAAGACGACACTGGGAACTGAAAAAATGGAATGCTTACAAATACCACCCCATTCCATTGTCCTGGAAGATTTACATCAAGTCACCCCTACCCACAATACCTTGCTGCTCTTCTAACTGTTCAGGTTGAAGATCTTTTTCTTTTTGTATTCTTTCCATCATTTCTTCATAGGCTTTCTTCCATCGCTCAGCATAAACAGCTCTTGCCTTTTCTGTCAAGTCCATGAGTTCTTTGAAGTGATCCTAGCATAGCATAAGTTTTCAATTACAAKCATTATATAAATATTTTATTGAAATGACAAACTTTTCAAAGTTTTCCAACTACTGCTGCATTGTTTTCTGAATTAATATTCAGATATTATTCAATCCCAAGCCAATTTTTGATTAGAAGATTTTATAGTTTTGGGTACCCTGTGTATAAGATACAGTCATSTAATCAACAATAAATACCTGTGCACCATCATAGTTGAACACTCCTACAGCACTAACAGGAACCTTCTTATGCAGGATACGACCCAGAATCTGTCTGCGCAAGGCAAATACTACAGGGACCCCATTTTGGTGAGCGATTGTAATAATGTTATGAAGTGTGTCATCTAGYCCACCTGCAATTATAATAATTCAAAATTTTAAAAACTGTTYTGTAAGTGAGTGGAAGTTCAATATTATTAGTGACTGAAATTATATTACCATGAATAATGACTAGGTATGTCATACTGACATAGCATTTGGCTTGAATGGTCTTCCTTTTATCTCTTTAAATTCCTTTTTACGAAAGTTCAAATGCTCTCCATTTTTTCTACAGTATGATGACTTTTTTGCCATTTCAGGGACGTCAACTCTCCCAGATTTGCCGGGAGACTCCCGGTTTCAGATCGAATCAGTCTCAGATTTTAGCCCTAAATCTCCACCACRCAAGATATTTTCATGCAATGATATTAATTACTAACCATTGTAAGTTGTAGATTTTTATTTTCAAAGAAAACCTTCAATGTTTCCTTGACCTTTCGATACGGAACRAAATACCTATAGGAGTTGCTTAAAAATATATAAACTGATAAAGCAATGTCTAATCCCATTGGTTGAAACAAAATATGACGTCATTTGTGACGTTATCACGTGGTGTGACGTCATACACATAATCGAGGCAATTTCTCCAGATATAGAAATTTCGGGGGTTGACATCCCTGCAATCTGGTTTTAACTATTTTGTATTTAATTATGATCTTGTCAATTGTTTGGTTTTTATAGACAGAAGACTAAAAAAAGCTTTTTTGGTGTATTTCAGAATGTTYATCAACAGGAGAAAACATTTATCACCATTGGAGTTTACATATACTACATCAATATAATATGCTTGATGACAAAACATACTTTGACTTACCTGCACTTTTTATACGCTCTACATTGGGTGAAATGATGACAAGCTTTACTTTCTTTAGTTTTAAGTGTTTGGTGACTTCCCTTAAACCAACTACAAATCTTCTTTTAGCTTTAGACTAGAATAAAGCAACAACATTTTTTTAAAAATCATTCAAATTAATGAGAAAAAATAAATGGATGGATGGATGGATGAACAGACTTTGGRTGTTATGTACTTTTGTGAAACACTGTTGCTATGTATAAATGCATAAATTGTACATAGAGCTGAAATGAATATTACTAATTACTACAACTACATAGTATTGTTTTGATAATAGAAGAAAAATTAAGGAATTGGCATAATTTAGTGCTATTTTGTGATATACAAAGTGTGTTCACACTACAGTAAGTGCAAATAGACTAAAAATGAGATTTGAATGAAAAATAGAATGAATTTACAAATAAATTAACAAATGACAAAATTGATGAATAATTTCTTAAATTTAAGATGAAATGTCTCTGTTCAACAAATGAATGACTTGAAAATGAAATGAACAAATGAATGAATGAAGCATGCAGATTACTTTGATAGGATCTTTATGATATTGCCTGTCTTGAAATACCACAAGCTTCTGTAATAATTCTGTTGTTGTCTTGTTAAGTTCCTTGTCCATCACATTGTCACAGTATCTGCAGTGAAAACATTGGTTTCTCAGTACACAYTTTCCTTTATCTACGAGGTTACATTATAAACTGAACATCAAGGCGTACTCAGCCATGTGATGCTCTACAGTTCTAAAGGATTTAATCTTTCTTTCCATTGTTGAGTAGTGAGCAACAAGATACCATATGGAGCTCCTTTTTCTTGAAGTACCATGTGACATTTGTTGAACTTATGCTTCATTCTCAATTGTAAATAGTAATTTGAATATACATCTAATTGAAAAAACCTAAACAGTTCTGATATTTTGACATCTTTTAAAATGAAGTTTAGAAGCTCCTTTTAAGATCCAAGTGCAAGTGCAAATATCAAGTTCTGATTTCAATGGTTGCACTCTTGCATAACTGAATGAATTATCTGGGGAGAAATAATTAATACTGGCTGTGTTAAACATACAGTCATTAGTACACAACTTTGTTAGYKATTACATAACCCTCTGTACAGCAGCAGCCTTGTAGAACTGACCAGATTGGAGCTGGTCAAACATTTCACTTTTCAAAAGCCTTGTCAAACATAATCGTTCATACTCACTCTCTAAATCGCCGGCTGTGGATCTGAGCCTTGATGTCCTCATCAGTTGGAACAGCTGTCAGTATAGTTTCTTTTATAACCAMATCACTATGTACTGAAGTAGCAAAGTCTTCTTGGTCTTCCTGGTCAGTTTGAAATGGTGGTTCTTCCACCATACTATAAAAAAATCAATTTTTTAGTATACTGGCTTAACTTTATTAATAATATTGATTGTAGAAATGCTATGTGACTTCTGGGAAAGACATTTGCTGTATAAATTGCCAATAAAAATGAGAGAAAAAGGYAAACATGATGTCATTTCTTAGGGCATTGTGTAACCTTTTGTCCTCTGTATTTTCATTGGTTTTATCATCATCTTCAGTAGTACCATCTAACCTCTTCTTCTTCTCCTCTCTTTCTTTGAGAATAATCTGGAAATTATGTGCTTCACTGTCAGTATTTAAAAACTCTCCATTATATAGAACACAAAGCACACAGAACAATAAGAATGTCAGTGAAAGCACACAGAAAATTGCACTTGACAGTGTGACTGTCTTGTGCAACTTGAACTTTTATACTATTGAATCCACTGCAGTAGTGTGGAATGGTCACAAATTTACATATCTCTGTTTCGCCAACTTTTGTTGTTAACTTCCTAAAATTTCTTTGTGGTCTGACATCACCGGTCAACTGTTGTGAAATGTCTTAATAAAATTAGAGTTAATCCACTGCAAATATAATGAAATCATGACGACATTTGTTCAGTTAGACATATCACAAATTCCCAATTGTAATTTAATGTAATGTAAAGAAGGTAAAGAAAGCTTTTAGCAACTTAAACATGGCACACTCCATTTCACACTCCATTTCACACTCCATTTCACACTCTATTTCCACATTGAAAGCACAATGGAATTTCAGGTATTTAACAAAATGTGGGCAGAGCAGGCATATGTAAATTCAGGCCCATTCYACACTACRGAGGAGTGGTGGATCCAGGATATTTCAAAGGGGAGTTCCTCTTTGTTTTTACTGTGCCTCTCGAACTGTAGCAAATTTAACGTGAATGTAGTTATAGATAGYGCATCTCTAAGTCTCAAAACGCTTTATAGTTCTGTGTGCATACAATGCAGCCATGTGGTAAAAGTGCAATATAAAGSCGCTAGTAAGATATAAGCCASCTTMATCCTTCTYGGATGCAATTGTATACAATGCRTTTTCATTTTATTTCATTTATCATTGATTTTTTTATTTTTTATGCTGGAGTGGGGTTCCTAGGAACCCTTATTACCCTACTGGTAATATATTCTTTGTTTGTTTGTGTGTTGCTGCTATAAGTTGTACAACTGCCATAAGATTTTGATTTATGTTCATCACAATTTT